CATACATACATACATACATACATACATACATACATACATACATACATGTATTGCGAATATGAGCGGCCACCCTATACATATATACACAGATGCATATCTATGTTTTAAATGATTACTTTCCAGATGATTGCATCGTTCCTTCCCTCACCATGCCAGGCCATGTATGATTTGACCTATTGGCTCAGGTGGTCATGACTGCTTTTCAAGCCAAGTGGCCACGTCACACTCGTCCTGCCAAGAATTCAGGCAAGTTTCTGAGAAATTGCTGAAATCTCAGATAACATACCCTTTAAAGTGTGAAGTATAAGTAGAAATCGTTTGCCACCATGACCTTTATACATTGTCCACAGCTGAGAGTAAATACGTTCAACGAACAGGCGGCTTTCAACCTCACAGGGGGTTGCTTTGTTATGGCTGGGGACGCTGCTTACCCCTTCTCGTTGGCGCCACAACCAACAAACCGAAGAGATAGTCAGCAATGCTAGGGTTGCGTCAAGTTCACAAAAACGTTTGACCCCGTGCTCTGATGGGGGACGTCTGTCTACCATCATGGAGTGAGAGGCGTGGATTTTGCAGGATGGTTGGGTTGCCGGTTGCCATGATCGATTCTGGATTTGCCAACAGCCAGCCGTGGTGCCTGCATGTCCACAAAATTCCATGAAACTACAGACTCTGCGACATTTGAGCAAACTTTCGTTGGGTGACAGTGAGAACATAGTCTTTCCAACCCCGTGCCTCCACAAGTCAACTATGGGGATGTATTAAGTTATATGCTTTTTTTCGAGTTCATTTGACGTTCTGAACGCCTTGGAGTACACTGGCCAGGTGGGTCTGAGAAGGTGGTGAGGTATGGGTCCAAACTCTGGTGGAGGTCGCTTGGAGCTTAGAGATGAAATGCATTAGTGTGAACCAGGGAGACCCCAACTTGGATTTCTGAGCAAGAATCGTCTAAAACACGCTGCCCCGTAATAAAAAATACAAGCTCACCTTCAAAACCAGCTTTGTTTAATTACCTTGCCCATAACTGGCCAATCAAATGCTATCAACATTTCATTATTCTTGGACTCTTGGGCTGTGGTTCTTCTCTTCTAGATTCCTTGCATTAGCAATCTTTGTTTTCCTGTGTCAGTTGAATCTGTTTCCACTGTGAACTTGGGCAGTTTTTGGCCCGGTGAGCACGTCCTTGAGTGCAGCGCGCGGTGAGGCCGAAACCAAGCGGTCTCCAATGTTCCAACTAGAGCCATGTTCAGCAACAAGGCGGACGAAGCGGACGTTCGACGTTCTGCATTGAGTCACTGCTAAACACAGGTGAAGGTCGGATAGTTCGAATGCAGAAGCAAGCATAAGCGTGCATTAAGTGATATTAAGTGCATTCAAGCAACAATATTGTTAGCATGCGTGTGGTTGTTCATTGGTGTGTTTTCTTCCAGGGGACTGGAAAGGGCAAGGCTCGGAGTGATGTGGAGGGCCGCCGTGAGACATACATGGGGCTTTTTTCTCTCTCGTCAAGCCTTCACGTGTCCATCAGCATCTTCTTGTGAATTGAGCTGCAGTCCTTAGGCCGCGCGTAGCGATTGCTTCAAAAAAAGCAGTTCTGTAACTTCACAGCATCCGAGTCGACTGACCTAGACGAAATCCTTGCGGCTTCAGCAGGATGGAAAAGGCAAAGAGAAGGGCAAACGAGAACCACGGCAGAACTTCCAGTCCCAGAAGGAGATGGACAAGGAAGTGCAGTGCGCGCAGTGAACTCAAACTTGGCCATCCCTGTTAAGAGCTGTTGCCGGTGTACCAGTTTGGAGCCATGTGGCTTATGATGGTTCACATCGTTATTACTCAGGGCGCAGCTCCACAAGACTAAATGTGCATTGTTGCTTCTTCCTTTTCAAGCAAGCCACAGATTGGTGCTGGCAAAAAGAAATCACACCGTCTTGGCCCTAAGCATCGGTGGTTTGTCGGCCCGGAAAGGCAAAGGGCAAAGGGAAGACCTCGAGCAATTTGTCTCCTGCCGAAGCGCACATAGCTGCAGCTGCTGCTCGTGCAAGCGGCGGTGGTCAGCAGGAGCTTTGGCGGCTTCAGAGGAACTGAGAGTCAGCTTAGGTGTGGATGATGCCTACTGCTGATAAAGGAAGGGCTGAGATATGTGAAAGAAACAAGACTACAGGTTATATGTCAACAATATATTTTTGTATTGATTGATGCAAGGACTCTTTGACCTGCAGAGGCAATAGATCACTTGAGAGCTGTCTTTGTGTGTTAACGTGCTTACTTGTGCTCTTGGCCCTGTTGAAGCGAGATGTACTTAGGAGGCAATCTCCATCTGGGAACGTGGAATAGACCCGTCCTACATCCATGGTTGCTTCTATTTGACAAGCTCCTTGCCATGAAACGGACCGTACGGACCGGTCGGCGGATGCAACTCCGATGTTCGACTCCGGTCATGGTTACGTGGATGGCACTGTGCCACCTGTTTGTTAAGACCGGATCAAAAAGGAAGGACCGTGCCATCCACATAACCAGGATGATTTTAGGGGGTGTAGGTCATATCTTCGGTATTAGATGGTATTATATATATATACAAATTGTTTCGATTTGCTGTTTTTTGACGCGAGACTGCCAGACTTCAGGGGATGATCATTTGGCTTTGGAGCCACTTCTGACACCCCTGGCAGAGGCCATAGAGGCAGGGATAGGACGTCATCGTCGTCTGAAAGACTTGACGGATAGTTGTTTCTTTTGTTTGTTTACTTTTGTTTGTCTTCGACCCAAACACAACAATTATCAACACATGCTGGAAGTCTCCATCTTCGCCATGTGCAGATTTGGCTGATAAGCTACGGCTAAGATTTTTTGTGGAATAATACATTGTATATATAAAATATCAATACATTATATATATATATACATACATATATATCTGGGATTGCTCCCGCATGAAAATATTTCATCTTGGTGATGAGTCGTCATTATTGGATCAAAACGATTGTCGAATGCTTTCGGTCAGAAGTTTGGTCCATCAAAGTCGCGAACACACCTTTGTGGAATCTGTTATGCCAGTTATGCATGATGATAATGATGATGATGCTGACGATTATTATGCCACATTTAGCGTGCCACATGTCAGAGGAAACAGTTGAGCAAATCCCTGCGGACATTGCGGAAACTGCTCAGGACCACGACTAGGGTTTTGCTGGGAGGGAGGTGAGGAAGCCTGTCACAACCCGTTGCTTTTTTAAAGCATCAATAACAGTAATTAGGTATTCAAAGCCTCTTTAGCCTACATGTCTTCAGGTTCGGGGAAGCCCATGTTTGTGCTTTCAGGAGCACCTGAAAGAGCTGGGCTTTCAAACCTTGCAATCCAGTACCGAGCCTTGGATGAAATTTCACAGCAGCCAGCCGTTTGAGCAATGTCAATGCATTCAATCCTTTGGACCTTCTCTTGGGTCGAGTTGCGTAGACTGCATATGTAGTCAGTAATTACTTCGTTTGAGCGATTCTTCTTTTTGTGCTCGAGGGATCTCAAAACACACGTCTTGCTCCAAACGGATAACACATTTACCACCACTTACGAAATCCGGATGACTTTCAGCCAGCCAAGAAATCATTCGTGACTGTTGCTCAATTTGGTCTGCAACCGATCCAGGCGCTTGATGTGATTGGCCAACGCCTGAGCAAAGAATTTGATGATCGCGATCTTGCAGTGACAGACAAAGCGGCGGCTGAGAGCTTTGGATGCAAGTATATAGAGGTCTGAGGTCCTGAGGTTTTGGACCATCATGATTCGCGCACTTGAAACTCAAAAAAGTGGGGAGGACATAGAAGGACTGACACTGAGAAGGGAGCTGGTAGGTGCTTTCATTTGTTGATACTTTTATAAGGAGGGCTTTGGAGTGGATTTGCTGCACTTCGGCCGAGAGTGACCTCCCGTCCAAGCTGTACCTGGCCAGCAGTAAGCAGTGTAAACAAATGGAACTGCACTGACGAAGTGGACTCAACCTTTGCAGAGCATTTTTTGAGTCATTTCATGTCATTTCATGTCCAATTGTGGTCACTTTGACTGGTTAATTCAGATCTTTTGCGCATGATGCCAGACAATCAAAAAGCTGCTGCAAATATAGTAAAGAAGCGAAGAGGTTGCAGCGGCCGAAAATGTCACTGAAACTATTTGGGCTCAAGCATGAGACTACTGCCAGGCTGAGACTACTGCCAGGTTCAGATTCAGATGCAAAATAAAACGCTTCAAAGAAGCGGGTCCATGGTCGCCCGGCAAAAGATCCAATGGCCCAAAGAGCAGCAAGCGACAGATGTGGATGCCAAGGCAGATTTGCGTGGTGTGCATTGGCAGCTGAGCTATTTGCCCTCACACTACGGGCAAACTGAGACCAAAGAAGCTTACATCAAACATCCGAGATATCAGCGGGAGAAGATGGTTGAGAATGGAGATGACCTCAGAGCGCCTCACATCGACTTGGCGTTTGGTGCTTCCAAGTCTTGCAAACAC